TACTGGTTTTTGTAGCTTCTTCGTGAAATTTCTCTTCTGAAGAATTCTACCTTGTTATCAATTCTTATGCTTCTTCCATAAGCTTATAATCTGCATTGAGAGACTGTTCTCATTTCTTCAATTGATAATCTTATGGATGTGGCATGTCCTCCTGGCTTCTCTCCTCTGATTAGATTGATTTAAATTTTACTCAAGTTCTTTGGGTCCTGTTTCTTGGAGTTCAGTGGATGGGGTTGTATATCTTACTCTATGCACTTCTTGTAGAATTATTAAGGTGGCAGTGGTTTCTTTCATGAGCCCCATTTCCCATTGCTCTGACTTTCATCTCATGTCTAGATTTTCCTGTACATGCTTATTTACTGCTGGGTTATGTGCTTTAAAGGAATGGTTGGATTGATACATTGATAATGATTTTTGATCAAGAGAATCAGTTGTTGCCTTGGGGGCATAGTGAAATCTTTGTACTTGAAGTAATGAAGTTTGGAAATTTAACTGGATTTTATCTAGTTCTTTAGATGTAAAATTCTTTATGACTCCTACAAAAGTTTGTGGCTTCTTCAGGAGATTTAATTTCACATGAACTTGGGCTGTGGATGGTGAAATTTAGCTGCATATTGATTTGATCTTCTTGGATTTTGGCCCTTGTGGTTTTGTACATGGAGGGCTTTCTCTGTGTTTTGAGGTGGCCTTGCATTTCAAGCTAGAGGTTTAAAACTCCAGATTTTGTTGTTTAATTGGAAAAGGTTTCAGAAATGAAGTTATATTCCTGGGGGTAATTGTTTGTCTGGTCTTTTTAGTAGTTGGACATAAAAATTGTCTGGTTGTGGTGTTGTGGAGGTCTCAAGACTATTGCTGGTCGCTGAGCACATGGGATCATCTTGTCTCCCCTGGAGAGTTTGCTCCATGAGTTTTTTGCTCTATTATCCATTGATTGTTTTATTTATTCTGCAGGGTTGGAGTTCCACCAGTTCAGCGAAGGTCTCCAAATGGACACTTTGCAGCAAAGGTATTTCTTCCATCCTATGACTAGGGGCTAGTCGGTATGTTTTTTATGTTTAAATGGCTAGTAACCATTCAGGATTGACATCATATATTGAACACTGTGAACACCCATGGATTTTCTAGGTGCCATTTTATAGCTTTTACATTTGGTTGGTTTGACAAAGGTAATGGGATTTATTGCTTCTAAACAGCAAAGACTGGGGTCCTATGTTAATGTTAAGAGTTATTGCTCCATTAGTTATTCTGTTTTGATGCTAAGTGAGCAATCTTGTTAGTACAGCCCCAGCAGCGGCAGCAGGATGAGGAACAACAGGGGAAGTCAGTGCCTAAGCAGAAGCCTCAAACACTAGACTCACTGTTTGCCAACATGAAGGAAGAGCGAATGCGAGTCTTTTCACACAAGAACAATGCTGTACAACGCAATGGCAATGCTGGCTGGCAAAGGCCACCATGGACAAGACGCCAGTTTGGCAACTAATTCCACATTTGCTGATAAGATGGAATTTCTTGGTTGCACACGATGAAGTGGAGTCCTACAGTAGCAGCATACCTTTTCTCCAAAGTTCAGGCCCCATTTTACATTTTCTAGTTACTTGTTTTATGCAACAATTGGATTTTAGGGTGAATTGAGTCAGAGTGTATAGTCTTTTTATCAGGTGCTGTTGGGTTTTTTAACTGAAATGACCAATTAATTACTTTCTAGTTTCTACAATTTTCACTTGCAAGTTCACTGTAACATAGTGGGTGGATGAAGATGTTTAGGAGGGGTATGTAGTTGCCAATCTGATCTGAAGCAAATACCAGTTTGGGATTGATGGGTGCTGTCTCGCTGTCATAAATGTCAATTTTCTCACTTGATCGTGTTCTTAGTTCTTTGATTGTTTATGTATTTATATTTTTTAAAAGGTAGAAATTGGTAAATGGCACTTACTAGTCGACATTTCAATGGATCGGTTCGCCCCAGTTCAAACTGAAAATGATCTCCTTCACATGATGTTTAGTACTCTTTTACTAATACCATGAACTTGCTCTTATTATAGGGTACGAGCTTGATTTATCTTTCTAGCAACTCCTAATCCTACCTTGAATACTAGAAGAAATTCTGGTTTATCTCTGCGATATCACTGGATGTGGTATCTTGGACTAATAAAAGATTACCAGATCAGCTTTTCTTTATTAAGTAATTAATAACGTGTAAAAAAAAAAAAAAAAAACTAAAAAGTGGTGTTTTTTTATTGATTTAGGATATCATATCAACAGTATTTTAAAAATATAGCAAAATTTCTTAAACACTAGGAGTTCATCAAAATTTCTTGAACTTATATTCTATCCCACGAATGTATCTCCAAAACCGTAATGGACACAACATAAGTCGCGACTTGCGTGAGAAAATTTATACGAAATGGAATGATGCCGGGTAAGGGTGAAGAATAAATAAAAGGCTTTCCTACTTACTTTCTCGATAAGTAAGTTATAAAAGGACTAACGAATTTAACACCAGGTTGGGGGTGTAGCTCATATGGTAGAGCGCTCGCTTCGCATGCGAGAGGCACGGGGTTCGATTCCCCGCACCTCCAGTTTTAATATTTTTACACTGCTTCTATTCTATATATCTCGCAACATCGAACGACGCAGAACCACTGGCGTTCACAGCCTCTCCTTCCTCATCATCTTCCCCTTTTGTGTCACCCAAAACAGAACCAATTCGAAGTTCCCCCCCCATAAACGTAAACAGAGAGTTCTTCCTCTGCCTTTCGAGACCCAAAACCTAACCTGTTAAAAAGCCGTAGCATGAGTCTGAATTTAGCTTCTCCATGCTTCTCGCCTCCTAACCTCACTAAACTCTTCGGAACCCCTCCAAATGGCTACAACGACGTTCTCTTTTCTCTGCCATTTCGCTGTAATTCCCCTCTCTCTGTTCTGATCAAAATAAGGCCGTTAAAATCAAGAGCTTCGGTGAGGGAAACCCAGAACGGCATGGTCGAGGAGAGCTCTGTTTTGGACGAGGAGTTGCTTGGTAAAGTCTCGGGTGCTAAAGATGCCGCCGAAGCTCTGGAACTGATTGCCCAGAACAGAGAAAGAAAATGCGGCGTTGTTGAAGCTTCTGATTGTCATTTAATTATTAAGGCTGCGCTTGATTGCAACAATGTTGATTTGGCTTTGTCTGTTTTCTATGCCATGCGGTCCAGCTTTGACACTGGTAATCCTTCGTTTTTTTTTTCTTTAATGGATATGGGTTTTGCTTTCGAAATCTTTTCTTGAACGATTCCTTGAAGAGCCAATATTGAAGTTTATATCTGCTAATCATGTGTGCTAACATGGTGCAGCTGTTGGTGAAGACGGGACTTTGGTTGATAAATGGAAATGGTCTAGGCCTGATGTGAGTGTCTACACGTTATTGGTTCAGGGCCTTGCGGCATCACTGAGGGTCTCTGATGCTCTCAGGATAATCAATGAAATTTGCAGGGTGGGAGTGTCTCCTGGTGAGGAGGTACGGAGGATGTTTTCTACTTTTCTTTGGATTGAGCAATGTGGGACCTTTTTCTTGAGGTGAATTGAAAAGTTTTAGACTTTTTTTTCTTTCTCTTTTAACAGGTTCCTTTTGGAAAGGTTGTAAGGTGTCCAACTTGTATGATTGCTGTTGCGGTTGCGCAACCACAACATGGCATTCAGGTGTAAACATTGAAGCAATTATACTGGTCTAGTGTATGCACGGTCTCATCTTTTCCGAATTTCTGCATTTGTAGTCTTTGCATCCGATGGTTGTGGTAGGGGAAATTGTTCAATCCTACCTCTACAAACAGGGCTAAATTTGCATAATTTTCAAAATTTATGTTCATATGCTAGCTGCAAAGTCAGGACATTGATGCCCTATGCCCGAGAGAAAATCTTCAGTGTAGATAGGATGCAACCCACAAATTTCAGCATTCATGGTCATGGGCATTGGTGTCAGAAATCTTGCTCAAATTAGAAATTGATACCTGAGCCAAAATCTTGTCTTGGTCATCTTAGTACATTCACTATTCATAATTTTTCTTTTTTAATTCCTTTTAATGTGGACATAATAATTCTTCTGCAGATTGTTTCTTGTGCCAAATGTCGTTACCAGTATGAGCTGTTTTCTGGAAACATAGTTAGTGTTATCTCAGAAGAAATCAGGTTGGAGTTGGTTCTGATTTACTTTCCAGGGATTTTTTACCTTGAGTGATTTAAGATCACTTTTGTTTAATGCGTATACTTCCAAAAGTATTTCCCAGAAGCAGTAGGATTTTCAGGCAACCTACTAACCTCTTGGAGAAATTGCAATTGGTTTCTTTTTTGCATCACTACAGTAATACTTTTTGTTGACATTTTGTAACTTCAAATGCATGAGCTATAGTGAGTTTGTTACAGCTATTGGTTAATAGGCGTTAGAGCTTTGAATTCCCTTTTGCCCCGTTTTAATGTTGATCACACAATCCTTGAATGGTGTTGATGCCGTGATATTCACTTTTTCTAAGGAACTCCTCCTGCCGAACGCAGCATGGAGATTCCATTGTGGAAAAGGGGACTAAACTCTCTACCAATAATGAAGCAAAGTATTCGTGCTGCTGTTCACTCTATTGTGGTACACTTTTCTTTGACTTTATAAATACTTTTCTGTTTTAACAGACAAGAAGCTTATTTGTTATTTCTGAGCCTTTCTTAACCATTCTGTATGTGCTTTCCATGTTTCAGGTTCGGATTCCTTCTGGGGTGGCACGCACACAAAGGTTTGCCACCAAAACAGTTGATCTCCCAGCACAAGAAGGAGAAAGGGTAACCCTTGCTTCTGCTGCTCCTGCAAATGTTTCTAGAGAGGTGGGGCCCTTTAAATTCAGTCCAAAGGTCCCCAATTTCTATCCTGGAGAACCTATGTGTCTCACAAACCATAATGATGGCCGGGAATCACCATTGCTGAGAGCCCCTATAAAAGATGGAAACATTTCTCTACTCAACCCGACCTTCCTTATTCCACTTGTCACTGTTCTGGCTGCTGGAGAAGCTGCCTCTGGAATAATAGATCCTAGTTTGCCTCAGCTCCTGGCAATTGCTACCATAGGATCACTTGGTTTTGGAGCAGCCTTAAATACTGTGATTCTACCTCAGTTGAATCAGGTAATCTTTTATCTTGAGTTTCTTAAAATATTACACATTTTCCTGGCATTATCCTACCTTCAACTTATCTATTTAATGTTGGTATCAGCTTCCACAGAGATCAGTGGAAGTAATTGCTATCAGGCAACAGCTTTTAGCTCAGTATGATGTACTTCAGTCTCGCATCAAGGACCTTAAAGAAGCTGTCATAAAAGAGGTATTCTCCCTTGCAAACCGCAAATGTGGTATGTCAATTACTATTTAGTTCGCTCTTTCAATTGAGTACCTTTGTTTTCAGAACCATGAACTTTGGTGTTGTGTCATGTCTGAATATAGTGTTTTCTATGACTTGGAAGCTTTAAAACTCCACTTGTTAAACTTCAAATAATTATTTTGAAAACTTCCTTACGTATATTGAAAAAAGAATGCAATTCAGACTAAACACATGTTTTTTCCAATTAAATTTTCAAGAAAGAGAAAGAAAAAATTGTCCAATAAAGACCCAAATAAGTGCTTGATGACTTCCAAAAATATTGTTCTTCACCTGGTTTACTCCACGTTTCTATAGATGTGTATCTGAATGACTATTCCTTGGGACATTTCTGTCCAGTGTGGTTATTGGTGCATGTAATAGTGTTCTATGGAGAATACTTATGATCTTGGGAATCTAGCTAATCTGTTAAAAAGACAGATTGGAATGTACTTATTGAGAAATACTTCAATCTATGTTATGCCATCGGGCTTTTTTTGAAATTGATCACTCAACAAATGCTTTAACAGTAGTTCCCATCTAATTTTATCATCTCCAACTGCAACAAGCTTGTTGAAGAAGTTTGTTCATTTCATGTGTAGATCTGGATGTTAGCTCGGATGTGTCAACTGGAGAACAAAATATTTGCTGTTGGAGAACCTTCTTATCAGTAAACTCCCTAGTCCCTACATTCTACCATGACTGAGTTTCCAAATTGTGCTGAAGATCTTTTGCTTGTATTCATTGTCAAGAACAACTTTTTCTTCGTCTATTTTCAGCGCTCGTAGAAGTAGAATCAAAAGGGTGCGAGAAGGTTTGGAGAATTCCCTCAGGGGAAGGATTGAACTTATTGACAATTATGCAAGAGTATGTGTATCTATCCATAAAAACACCCTAACTCAGACATGAGAAACCCCTCCTCCATTTCCTCCCCACTTAAAAGGGGTAGTGAAAAGAAAGGATAAAAATATATCCTTTATGTTTTCTCTTCACCAAATATATTGTGAAATCTTTCATTTTTCAGATCTCTTCAATGATTGAAATTGAGGTGGAAATGGACTCTGATGTCCTTGCTGCTGAATCAGCAAGCACTGCAGTAAGCAAAACACCTTTGTATATATTCCTTCCTTCCAACCAGGGACATATTTAGCAAGATATAATTGAGTGATTTCTGGCTGCAGGAAACCATATCAGAACAGATACAACAAATCATGGAACTGGAGAATCTGGAAGAGGCATATCCCTGTTTCTGTGACTCACACATGTTTTCATCATATGAAGTTGAGATCCTAAGAATAATTTGAGGCTTTTTTTTTTCTCTGTTTTTGACTTTCTGTGCAGAAGTGGAGGCTCCAAGCTGAAGCAAATGACGAGGCTGAAAGACTCCTTAGTTCACAACCTATGCCATCGCCAGCAGAAGAGATCAATATGAATGACCTGTAATACATTTGATTCTAGTATAGCATGGTTTACTATCACAATCATATGGTCGTGGGGGATGACATGCTTCATTCAAAGCCGAGATTGGAGCATCTAATTATCCATCCTCTTGGAAGCAAATTAATTTTGGGTAGAAGAACTTTGGCAATGACTAAATTACCTTGGGATGCAATGCATTCTGTTTGCACAAACTGAAGAAACAGAGCTGCTCACAACAGCTGCACGCTTCTATCACACCTCATAGCTTTTTAACAACTCACTGAGTAACCCCTGAAACTCGTATATTCACAAATAGCATCAGTTATTTCTGTCTGCAAACACATGAAATAATCTCCTTTACTTCCAGATTTTGCAATGTAAGGATGAACAGTGTCTGCTGATATTATTTATTTATTTATTATTATTATTTTGTCTTCCATATGACTATATTTTGGATTCTTGTATATGTGTATGTATATATATAATACTTTTTAAAACTGGCAATTACTATAAAATTTTTAAACTAGGTGGATGGAGAGCGGAGGGGAGAAAGAGGATAAAGGGCTAAAGGGCTAAAGGGAAGGATACTTGAAATGATAGGATCTGTTTGGTGAAGCTGGTGGAAATTGCTTTTAAAGTTCAAAATCTTCAGCTACCAAACACCTTTCTTAGGGCTTGTTCGGTTTAATTTTTTGAAGTTTTTGGTTTGATTTTTTAAAAAAAAAAATTTAAAGTCATGAAATATAAATAATATCAAAAAAATTAAAACTCTAATAAATTAACGTAAACACGCGTGTTTGGTAGAAGCCAAGAATTCATTCATGCTTTTCGGTGAGCTTCTCCGCATCTTTAATGAAATTATCATCTTCCTATTTTGCTCATCATTCTGTCACCCTTTACAACTAAAACCCACGAATTATAACAAATCCCTAACCCCACAACGTGACGAGCCCTTCTCCTCTTGTCAGGAGATTGCAAATCGACAGATTTGGGGGTGGTTGAAAGGGCATTCCAAATCCGTCGATCTCCCTCCCCTTCTGCATCTTTGAAAATCCGAACAGGAAGAAGGAGACAACCTCCCCTCACTCCCCCTCCATTATTATCTTCCTCATCCCTTCTCCTCCCTTTCTGTCCTACACCTCCAATCCAAACAGTATGTAAGAAAATCGATTGGAATCTCATGGAGAACAAGAACCAAATTATAGTGGCAACCGTCGATGAGATGTGAAGGGATTGGAATTTGGTCAGGTCCGAGGTTTCTCACCTTTTTAATGTCAATTTAAGCAATATATTCTCTGCTTCTCTAATTTTTTTCGTCTTATTTGTATGCTTTTCAGCATTCCATCTTCTAAGCGGTAGCTTGATGCTAGTTTCCTCAGAATTCTATACAAGACAGTTATAAATTTCGATTTATACACAAGAGCTGGTATGAATTTTTATTTTATGGATTTTTATTGATACTAGTTTCCTCTTTGTCTGACGTATTTCTGGTATATTATTGAGGGACAGGCTTTTATTTTTTATTTTTTAATTTTCTTTTTCTTGTTCGAGATTATTTGTAGACTTGGTTTTTGTAAGTGCTTTGTTTACTTGTAGACATGGGGGCATAGAAGGCTCTAGCAGAATTGAAGCATCAGACAATGCTTTAGTTAATGCTTTAGTTTAGCAATTTAATTTTCTCACTTAGAAAAAGATATTTTCTATTGGAGCTCACTGATTGATTTTACTGTTTTTGTTTTC